AGTACTAATATATTGTATAAGTTGTCTGTTTAAACAATCTCCATGTTTTAGTACTAATATATTATATATGTTGTTTGTTTAAACAATCTACGTGTTTTAGTACGAATATGTTGTATAAGATGTCTGTTTAAACAATCTACATGTTTTAGTACGAATATGTTGTATAAGTTGTATATTTAAACAATCTACGTGTTTTAGTACTAATATGTTGTATAAGTTGTCTGTTTAACAATCTACGTGTTTTAGTATTAATATGTTGTATAAGTTGTCTGTTTAAACAATCTACGTGTTTTAGTACTAATATGTTGTATAAGTTGTCTATTTAAACAATCTACGTGTTTTAGTATTAATATGTTGTATAAGTTGTCTGTTTAACAATCTACGTGTTTTAGTACTAATATGTTGTATAAGTTGTCTGTTTAAACAATCTACGTGTTTTAGTACTAATATGTTGTATAAGTTGTCTGTTTAAACAATCTACGTGTTTTAGTACTAATATGTTGTATAAGTTGTCTGTTTAAACAATCTACGTGTTTTAGTACTAATATGTTGTATAAGTTGTCTATTTTGACGATTTACGTGTTTTTAATGCAGAATTTATCGTTCTCTAGATAAAGATGAAAATGGTGGACAAAAACAAAACATTTTATTTAATAAGTTCGAACGTTTTGGATTACATTTATTCCATCTTCAGCGAAAGCTGGAAATTCAGTTACAAAGATATTTATAAACTACAACTATAGTATCATTAATCCCAGGCTATGTTTGTTTGTTTGTAATTAAGCACAAAGCTACACAATGGGCTATCTGTGCTCTGCCCACCACGGGTATCATTAATCACTCGCTACTTAGTTCTTACGTAAAGTGGTAAACGGAAGGAAAAAAGAAAACAGATTAAAGAATTTATTAGGAAATAGTTTAGTTTTAAGTGTGTAAATGTAGAATAATTTCAGATCTAAAAAGGTCTGTAAGCCATTAAGAGTAGGGCGGTTTTTATTGTAGAGTTCAAGGTCTGAAGATCCTGCAGTAATCGTTAAATGAAATATTGTGACCTGTGGTTTCAACATGTGTTTTGTTTAGCCAGTTTACGTGACCTTACAGTCACTACACGTGTACTTACTTATACACGATCCATGAACGTAGAAGTTTAGGTATGTTCTTTAAGCTGAAACACACTGACTACTGGTGATAATATCGACATTTTTCTTTGTTTGTATAAAATAAAGATATTTTCCATTCTATAACAAGAAAGTGAACGTTCATATGTATCTACTTATTGCTAATGTTTGAAATATTATACCTACACATGATTATCTATACACTGTTTGTTTTCTCCCTCAGGAATGAACAGTGAAATCTCTTGTGAGAGTGAAGAAAGTAACAATATCCAAAAGGAGCTGCCTGAAGAAGACGATAGCGAATCAAAACAAGCTTACAAAGATGATAGCGAATCAAAACGAGCTTACGAAGATGACAGCGAATCAGATCAAGCTCTCAACTTGGTAAGTTTTGTACAGTTATGTCACTGTTCTAGACTGATGTAACATAACGTCACTGTTCTCGACTGATGTTACATAATGCCACTGTTCTAGACTGATGTAACATAACGTCACTGTTCTAGACTGATGTAACATAACATCACTGTTCTAGACTAATGTAACATAACATCACTGTTCTAGACTAATGTAACATAACAGATGTAACATAACATCACTGTTCTAGACTGATGTTACATAATGTCACTGTTCTAGACTAATGTAACATTACGTCACTGTTCTCGACTGATGTTACATAATGTCACTGTTCTAAACTGATGTAACATAACGTCACTGTTCTCGACTGATGTAACATAGCATCACTGTTCTAGACTGATGTAACATAACGTCACTGTTCTCGACTGATGTAACATAGCATCACTGTTCTAGACTGATGTAACATAACTTCACTGTTCTAGACTGATGTTACATAACATCACTGTTCTAGACTGATGTTACATAACATCACTGTTCTAGACTGATGTAACATAACGTCAGTGTTCTAGACTGATGTTACATAACGTCACTGTTCTAGACTGATGTTACATAACGTCACTGTTCTAGACTGATGTAACATAACATAACTGTTCTAGACTGATGTTACATAACGTCACTGTTCTAGACTGATGTAACATAACATCACTGTTCTAGACTGATGTTACATAACATCACTGTTCTAGACTGATCTAACATAACGTCACTGTTCTAGCCTGATGTAACATAACGTCACTGTTCTAGACTGATGTAACATAACGTCACTGTTCTAGACTGATGTTACATAACGTCACTGTTCTAGACTGATGTAACATAACTTCACTGTTCTAGACTAATGTATCATAACATCACTGTTCTAGACTAATGTAACATAACGTCACTGTTCTAGACTGATGTTACATAATGTCACTGTTCTAGACTGATGTAACATAACATCAATGTTCTAGACTGATGTTACATAACATCACTGTTCTAGACTGATGTAACATAACATCACTGTTCTAGACTGATGTAACATAACATCACTGTTCTAGACTGATGTAACATAACGTCACTGTTCT